GTTCCGTTGGGCTTTGTGCATGTCCCCTTAGCTCTACCACCTAGCCCTAGCCCCTCGCCCTTGCCTATACCTAGCCTAGATCCCCACAGGCCCCTAGAACACGCGTTGCGCTACTTGGTCCGTATATTACAGTTGATCCGCTGTTGCGGTAGCAAGAAAGCTGAAAGTCACCGAATACTGTTCCAGTCCACGGGAGCCTACGCGTCGGGAAGCAGCTTTCGCTAGTTTCCAGACCGCGTATATACTACTAGAGCAGTTTCTGGCCATTCCAGCCTGAAAACACTCCCTTCTGGTAAAGAAACAGCAGCACACAAAGAGTGTAAAAGCCCCCAATTGCATTCCACGCTGCCAATTTCCTACTATCGTATAACTACTATTATACCCATTGTGGTTTATGCAAATAAGTTGACATACAGCTAAAGTATGGGGAAATTGTATGGCCTCTTTATGTTCTAACTACCCGTAGACTGAGCAGGAAGCGCTCACTACGTATCTACGTTGTTTGGACTAGCTGGAATTCCTTTGATCTTACTCTCAGTCATCATACAATTTACCGTTAGACCTCTTGAGTCTACAACAGTAACTTACTGAAATGAGGACTTATCTTACCTGCACTTCCTCCATCGCTCATGAGTACTAGTGAGAAGTCATAGGCCCACAGGACAGTAGGAATGTCGACTGGTGATAGCCACACACACTAGCACTTGTCCAGCATTCTCTCTCACACTGTACGCCGTACTTTCAAACTCCACTGTAGCAACTGCAGAGCATCAAAAACAAGAGATTCCCCAGCCTCTCTCCCTCTCTTTCTTTTGTCAATTTCTATCCATAGGATCAGCCACAAAATACTTTATACTGTGGCAAGGAATGTTAATTCAGTCGGCATGGAAGGTGTGGATGTATAATATGCATGTATGCAAGTCACTGAGCAACAGTTTAGTCTGAGCGAACTGTGTTGCAGAAGCTATACCTAGCTAAGGCAGGCAGTTGCTAAGCCATAGCTTCACGCCATGCCATGTGCATCACTTATATCAGCAAGACGACCTTGGGTGAATATGTGAACATGCTCTCTCTCCCTTTCCCTCTCTCACTGTCAGCATCAATGATGGACACCACTGCCACATTGTCTTCTAATCTGATCCTGGGGTCCAGACTAGAGGTCCTATTGACAGTGACAGTAAACGTCTCTGTGTCTTCTTGGGTGTCGTCATTGGTGATGGGTATGTTGTAACACTCTCTCGTCTCACGAACAGAAAAATAGAGTGGTCTTCTTTGTAAAGCACTGAAATCAGCTCTGAAATCTCCCCGGGGTGTGCTGACTATGGGGAAAACGCACCAAAGCAAGTACAGACCACATGATGTCTGGATGATAGCTACTTACCAGCAGTGCCGTCAATAGTGTTGAGGAGAACGGAGAAGGAGAAATCGATTGGAGTATCTATTACTGGTCTGCAAACTTCAACACAGACTGTAACACTTCTACTTTCTTCATGGACACTGTATGCTGGTTGTTCCAGCTTTAATACCGCCTCTGTAGTATGGTGCACGTGTGCAGTCATGAGCATGCATACAATCCCTTTTACATACTTACCATCTGTGGGGTCATCAATGACTGTGAGTGTTCCTGATGTGGTGTTGATGTCGATCCTTCTGTCAAGTTCATCAGTTCTCTCCAGTCGATATGTATATGTTTTTGTCAGCTCAAGTTGTTCATCATCGTCAATTGGAACGGACACGCATGCTCTGTGAGAACACGGCCCAAATGCCATTGGGAAGTCCTCTGTGATTGCCAAACAAATCATTAATTGATAAGTAATGACAGACAACTTACCCCCATCAACTGATAGATTTATTTCAAAGTCAAAGACAACTGGACAGGAGCTCCGGTCTGGTGTGGGGTCGTAAATCTCTGCACATATTCTCACAGTCTCATTCACTCCTTCTGTTACAGTAAATGTTGTTTTCTCCAGTCGGATACAAGCCCCTGTATAGGACGTTGGGTCACTAAACATCAAAAGTAAATGTGATGTATGAGTTATAGTTGTATAAGTGAACAGTGACTCTCACGAAATACTATCATGCCATTGAACATGCATACCCATGCAGTTAACTTGTTTGTTGTGCCTTTGCCTTTCTATAATATACCTCATAATTTGCACATGTAAATGAAGATACACTGATATCTGTCTCACTTCCCAGACACCTTGACTTCGTGATACCCTGCAGTTCCCCAGGCACCATCTGAGACTTGACTGTTGAATGCTGAGATTTTTACCTAACCTTTCTTACTTCTCAAACACACTATCTACACTTCAACTTTAGCCTTCTTGGTTCTCTGGACATGACAGCTTGATATAATTATTATTCTTGTAAACCAGAGTGTTGAAACAAACTTGATATTTCCAATATTTCAGTCTCCTCACGGAGGCCTTCCTCAGGGAGAGTATAGCGATACAACTGAAATGACTAGGATGGCAACACGGAGATGGAACAATGACACAAAAATGTAGAGAACAATGACAGGACCATTCAATGAAACCTAAGAGGGGGAAATTTCATTGAATTGCTCAGTCATTGTCATCTACACCCGTGAGAGTTTATTCACCCCTGATTTATCTACACTTTACAGAGGTAAAACAAAGAACCAAATTTATCTTCCAACAGCTAAACAGCTATTTAACCTAACACCAACAATCTTTCTATGAACCTATCAAGCGACTGGAAATTCTCTAACCTATCCCCAAGCTTCCCTTTCAGGTGTACTAAAGAAATTGCCAGTTTGCATTCTTTACTATGTGCATAATACTCATGCACAACGAATGTAGCTAGCATGTAAAAGATGTCATTATTAGTGCTTACTTTCTGAATCATCACGGATTGTGACAACAACAGTGCTGGGATCAGGTTTGACCAGAGGAACATCACTGAGGAGGGAGAGGGTAAAAAACTCCACATTCTCCACTTGCACATTATAGGGATCGTTGACAAAGGAAATACGACGGGGAGCACACGCACTTCTCCTGCAACGGGCAAACTCTATTGTTTGCACTCTGTATGTCACATAGTCTGAGCCATTTACTGAAGAGACAATAGTATACAATGTGAGACAGGGAGTAAATAGACACAAGTGCAGTCATTACAGGCAGTGTTATCGGAAATGAGTAAGGTCAGGGAGAAGGGAATGGTGACTGGACAAGACACTCGAGGGCTAATCACACTTGCACAGACTGTTAGACTGCCACTTGTTTCCTGGACAATATACTCTGTTCTGTCAAAAGTGACAATGGCCACTACAGGAAGAAAAAAAACTGAATAGAAAACCAGGCTGAGATCAGGAATCTTACTATCTTCATCTTCAATGGTAACAGTAGTCACATTAGGACTTAGAATGATGCGCTCAGTGAAGTCTTGACTTGGTGGTTGTAGAGTGATGGTAAAGGTTTCAGTGTCTTCAATGAGGTCGTCATCAATGATGTCTACTGTCAGACATTCCTTCTTACTGCATTCACCAAAATTCAGAGCCCTGTCATTGAGTGTATAATCACGTCCTTGGACTATGAAAAAGGACAGAAGGAGGATGAAATAATAAGTATGTATGGCAGATTTAACAACATACATGCAGTGCCTGGATTTGCAGCAAGTATCAGCTCAAAGGGGAAGGCGATAGGGCAGGCAGTGGTCGGAGAAAACACCACAACACAGACATTAAGTTGTAAATAATCTTCCTTCACAGTATATGTCATATTATCCAGTCCCACAGTAGCTTCTGCATAGAAAATGATGTTTGAAATTCATGTCTGACTGAAGGGATGGTGGCTAAGTGGAGGTTTGCTAAGCTTCCCCATACAGAAAAACTCCATAGCGCTCTCCCCTTTGTACTCGAGGACTCTTTTAGTACCTTGCACCTGCACCATTTCAATTTTTACCTGAGGTGTTGTACTACCTTTCAATAATCTCAGAAATCCCTTCTCTAATAATTATTTTTCTGTTCACCACTGAACGTTTCTGCCAATCTTTGGATGCAAGTAATTAAGGGGAATATGTGCGGATTCAGGAAGCCAGCCCTTCTTAGTCCCGAGCCATCCCTTGCTAAAAGTGTAATAGGCATTTTTCAGCCATCTAGCTACCTGGTAAAGATAGGTATTTAGCTAAGTATGTTAGATGTGGCAAGGCTAATACAGGAAGGACTGGCAGTCTTACAATAATATCTAAGCTAGAGGACTGGTATAGATAATACACCCTACATTCAAACTTGTGTCAGCACTTGTGCGCTTACGTAATGCATAGGGTTTGATACACCGAGGGTAGCAGCAGAGCTTTGTAAGACCATAGCAACTGAAATACTTACCAAAACTGGGATTGTCTCTGATAGTGATCGATCCATTCCGAATTATAGATATCCTACTATCATCGCTTTCTAGTGTTATAGGTCTTGTAGAGGGATTCTCAAGGATATTGTTATCTTGAACACGGAATATCGCACAACTTGGTTGGGGAAATGTAATACTGATTTTCACTTTTATCCTACCTAAAGAAAAGTAGAGAAAGATGTATATATAAAGATAGTTATAGACAGTAAGTACTTAAAACATACGGATTTTAAATCTGATGCAAATCTCTGTTTCCACAGCAACTAATGAAATGGCACATATTTCACATTCTTCTCCTTCGATTAAAGAGTAGTGCTCCCTTTCCAACTGCACTAAGGCTTCTATTAAATGAAAACATGCAGAGATAACAATTTTAAACTCAGAAAATTTAAGCCCCGTACCATCAGTATCATTGATCCAGATATCAACCTTGTCTTCTTTTACGATAACATCACCACCACTTCCAACATCATAGACTAGACTAAGAGTAAACTGTTCCATATCTTCTACCCTCACATCATTAATAATGGCCACATCAAAACAGGCTTTCTCTTCACAAGGGTCCAATCTGAGGATCGACTGTAGCGACTTGTAGTCCTGGCCTGCCACTGTAAAACAGATAATACTTGATGTACAAAGTTTATATTAGCTACGTCAAGTTAAAATAACCTGCTGTGACATCTGAAGTTGAGAGGGTAATGGAGATGGATAACTCTGAATGATGACCATGAGCTGTAACTAACACACACACTTCAGCTCTACCATCCTCCTCTTGTACAGTCAATGACCGTCTCGCAAATTCCACTGTTGCCACTAAAAAAGTAGAAGAAGGATAGGAAGCAAGAAGAGGCCTACATTGACGAATTCAACATGTATCTTTATTGAACACAAACCCACTGATATTGCATAATAATGCATAATACAGATGCACATTCAAATCGTGTAAGTGACAATACACACCTCTGTGAACTCCAACAGTTTTATCAGTGCATTTCAAGTAATAAGTTTGGTTTTGTGGTTCAGATTGATGTGCACTTGAGACCCTCTTGGATTCTTACCGAAAGTAGACGAAATAGTTATATTGTGCTTCACATCAACAAGCTCAATTCTGTTATCGTGATTGGCTGGAGGTTCCAGGTTGATACTGAGTTGATTGACAGCAGAGATATTCACAGGAACCAGAACACACTTTCGGATGGCACATTGTTCAACAGTCATAGTAATGTAGTCATCACCAGTTCCTATATAGCGAAGAAGAGTTAGTTATGATTATAATCCATTTGTGAAATAGTATTTTCCCTGGTAATCCACCACCATTAATTAGGAGTGAATGAATAATTTATACAGCAACTTACCATCATTATCACCTTGAACGGAAACTTTCAAATTGAAATGAAATCCCACCGGACAAACTGCAATGTTGTAGGGTGGCTTTCCCTCAACACACACTTCAATCTCTGTCTCATTATCATAAATTTCAAGATCAGTGTCCCTCAGACCAAACCTAGTAACTTTACAGTAGGGAACAGGAAATGTTGTTTGCAGATAATCTGTAATGTGCTCCCATACCATCATCATCAGTGATGGTGATGGTTGCAGGTGTATCTTCAAGTGAGATCCTGTAGTCAAGACCAGGAGTTCTTTCCAGTCGAACAGTGAAAGTCTTCTCCAGCAACTCTACCGTGTCATCATCAATGATTGTAACTTCTGTGCAGATGACTGGCTGACAAGGCATTGCTCTTACAGTGGTAGATATTGACTCATAATCATGACCTGATGCTGGAAATATACACCAAACAGCATTCATTCTCATGTTAACAAAGAGTGTGAATAGACTTCAAGGCAGATAGTGATCAAACCCTTGTGTGCAAGTTCAGCTGCTGGGGTTACACAATATCACAAGGCAAATGCAACCGAGAAACACACACTACCCCACCACATTGGGACTATTTCGTAGTTAAAAATACTATTCGCCTAATGAAGTGCTTTCTTACTTGCAGTTACATCCTGAGTAGAGAAAACAACGTTGAACTCGAAATCAACGCGACATGTTTCAGGATCAGAACTCAACCGAGCACACACCTCAACAGATGAATTACGTTCACTGATGCTAAAATCCTCAACACTGATGTGAAGCACTAAAGAGAGAAAATACAATATAAGCGTGTCTGAGAGGTAATGTAAAGACTGTCATTAACCCTCGGCGCGCATGCGCAGCGAGGGTTACAGTAGTTGGGTGTGTGTGTGTGTGTGTGTGTTACTCTCAATCTCACTTCTCTGGTGTTTGTTCGTCTCACAAAGGATACGTCCTACTTAACGGGCAGAAGTTTCGAACAGTTTTCTTTGAAACTGCTCCGTTGCAAAGCTAGAGCGCGAAAAGGCCAATATGCAAATACACAACAGACGGCTTACCACAGTCGGATCGATCCGCGTGCTCTGCGTACTTCGGAGGCACCAGAAGATGCAACGCAGGGCGTGTATCGCCTCTCGCATACTATCTAGTAGTGTAGTTGGCAAGAGACCGCTAGTAACAGCTAAAACTAAACTCAGCCCATCAGTGGTACGGCGCATGCGTTTACTTACGCGTGCGCATCACAGCACAGTGCGCCGAGGGTTTGCACTTCAGTGCTTTTTATTACCATCATCATCAATGATTAAAACTCTGGACTCTGCGGGATTCAGGATAATCCTGTCACTCAGATCTGGTACTGCTTCCAAACTAACTGTGAACACCTCAACAAGATCCTCTAGTGTGTGGTCATCATGGATAAGTATGTCTACGCATGATCTCTGTTGGCAATCTTCAAAAAGCAATGACAAGGGATCTAACAGAGATCCAATATCTGGAAAATTGGGAAAACCGAGTGGTCACGTACTGCAAGACAAATTTTGATAAACTTTCCTTACCAGCACTGTTATCTGTCTATAGACAGTGGAACACTAAAAGAATGTTCAAAGGGGCATCTTGTACTTGTGGGTGATCGCCATGTAGCACACATTTGAAATGACCCAGCTAATTCCGAAAAGAAATATCCACTTTCTAGACCGACTACACCAGCTGAATGAGTGATGCATCATAGAAATGCCTTAAACTCACAGGTGCTGCTTACAATCATCATCCTCAATCCGTATGACAGTGTGCCCTCTTTCAATAACGGTGGCAGCTGTAGCATCTTTAATAAGAAGTGTGAGGCCAGTATACTCTGTTGGCTCCACACGTGCATCATCATAGATTATCTGGTCATAACACAATGTCTCTCCTTCTTCTATAGTCACCGACTGCATTTTGTTACAGCCACGAATTTGTTGCTCATAATCGTCAAAGTCCTCCGCTGTATACTCACATTCAATGCTGGGAAAGTTACCATCTGCAGTAGTAGACACTATCTGTACTCACACTCACTACTGCTCTCTCAATACAGTCTAGGGCATCTCTTGACTTTATGGTGAGTGAGTAAGGGAAATATCTGCACATATCTGCACAGACTACAAAGTCTTTTGTTTAGAACTTGAGTACTACCAATGCATTTTGCATGGAGTGTACAGTTCCTTATAAGTGCTTCTTATAGTAGGTAGTGAGGCCTATAGTTAGCCGATAGGCTTACTTGCCAGTGGGCGAGGGACAGCAACAGTATCATCAGAGTACACCTCCATTCTGATGGAGTTGGTCTTGTTGGCAGGACATGTTAGGTTGATGCAAACACTAACAGAATCAGCACCTTCACTGACAGTGTACTGCCCCAGAGTGAACCCAATAAAACAAGGGTCACCTAAATAGATATCAGCTTTAGCCCATATACGTCAAAAATCTCAGACTCACCATCATTGTCAGTAATGTGTACATATGCCATGTCTCTAATGTATTCTCCAACACTCTCTAGCTCTTCCGTGAATTGGGTATAGAATGCTGTAAACTTTAGTCTCACAGATTCAATACTCTCTAATACTGTGTCATCATCATTGGCAGTTATAGTAAAGACTGCCTGTCCTTCGTTGTCAGTTTCTATCACCCCAATGTCACTGAAGTCACTGGCCCCTATAATAGACAGGAAGTCACACTGTAGAAAGAGCTATGACACAATGTGTTTTACCTGCAGTTACTGCTGTGGATGTGATATTTCCTAAGAGAGGCAGTCCTAGTCTCCCATAACGTGATTGTCCCTTCACATTCTTGAGAAACTCAATATTTCCATCCTGTCCTTCAGTAATATCGAGTTTTGCCTTCCTAAAACCATGAACTGAAGCATTTTTGAGAATTAACTTCGTATAGATGCATCATGCTTGTCTCACCAATACACCTGTTACAGCCATCAGGAGTCATGTAAGACAAGGAATCATCACTACCAATACAACACTGTTTGGCAGTGGCAGTGATAGATGACGGACTACCAGAACAATCAGTGGAAGCAAAACACTGAACAAAGTTGCCTGCGGCTACGTACGATATAAAGTCTGGCGAGTTAGAGCAGATTTTTTTACCATTCAGTGGAGGAGATGGCGTGCAGTCAGCAGTCAGAACCGTAATCAATAGAAATGTCACACTTATGATTACGCTTGACGCCATCGCTGCGATTTACAGGTCAGTTTAGCTACTACCCAGTTAACAAAGTGTTTCAGTTCGTTACACAGGAAGTGGCAGGTGCATAATATCGTCCGGCCCCGCGAGACGCATGGCAAGCTCGTGCTCAGGCTCGCCCACTCTTGACGTAGCTGACAGCTTATGAGGCATATCTAATCATTCTCGTCGAGTTTTTGAGGCGTTTTGTACGAGGATCACGTGAGATATGACAGTTGAGCGTCTACGGACGCTCTAAAAGTAACATGTCGAACGATGCTCAGGACGTCCTCAGATGGAGACACCGGCCAAGTATTACAATGGCTAGACCGTAGTTTTGTATGCGTCCTTGCCGACATACACTGACCCATTGCGGCATCAGGACGACAAAGGTTCCTTGAAGAGCTTGGATAGAACGAGAGGGAAGAAGTAAATAAGAGGGATATGAAGTCTTGTCGCTATTTGTTGCACGGATTTTCGACAATGGAATGTCGCATGAGCGCAAGACGACAAAATTCTACATACTCTTTAATCCTGTCACTAGGAATTATCATCCCTCGTCCACATCAATTTTATATTCTAAGTAGCTAACACCCTCGGAAGAGAGGAGAAAGTACTGTGGAGAGTCAACAAGACTAATACACTCTTAGAAAATATAACACAAAGATTATAGAGATTGTGGCATGTTTAGCTTTGTTCTATGGAGTGATGGCTTGTTTCTTTCCTTGTTCCCCCTTCAGTCTGCTGTTGGCAAACGCCCCCGGCTCGATCATAATTCATTGCTAGCTATCACAATTATTAACGTACGATAGCCGTGGTCTAGCCAAGTCCGTCTGGTTTTTGTGCGATGGGGGTATATTATTATACTAGCTAATAATCAGTCGGACCAATATTCGGACGCTTATTTTACACGAACGAAAAAGGTAGAGAGAAGAACTCTGTTTTAGATGGCAGCTGTCCTTCTTCTGCTGAGGGAGCAAGCGTGGAATCCATACGAAAAGCGTAACTTTTGCGTAATCTGAGCATTCGAGACAGTGCTGACCTCGCAATTCAAAAATTGCACAGCTCAATTTATTCACTAGTTTATGCAACTTCACAAACATCACACAGCCATCTTTCAGGAAGCTTATTCTTTTTGAGTTTCACACAGGACATGTGATACCAGTCTTCACATCCATCATACAGCACACCATAATTCTCATTATAGTCCTCCGTCATCCGGCAGTATATTTTAATATTGCGAACCATAGGAGACGGTCTTGGTAATGATTTCTTGGAAAGGGTTCTAGAACTCCTTGTGACAAGCATTCGTACAGATGTGGTCTCATCTTGGTCTGATCAAATACAGAATAATGATTGCGTATTCCTTCCGAGGCAAACCTCTACAGCATACGCAACTGCAAATACCCGCAGTCTTTTCGACCCTTCTGCTGCTGCACTGACACGCTTTATTTCCAAGGTTGAATCTTGAACCCTATAAATCTTGGAGATTTGTAGGATTGTGGAATTGTTGACTGAGAAAGAGGGACATACTGTCCATCACCATGACGACCAAAGACCCTTTTGACAAACACTTGCACACTTGAACAGTTCTGGTCTACCAACTTAAACTTCAGATTGCAGCCCAATATGGCATCTTGGAAACTAGCTAGCTACATGCTGAAACTGCACACTCAGAAATGATTGGGGAGCATTAATAGATTGTCAGTGAGCTCTTCGTCACCCAGTAGTCTTTTTATCATCTTCATATAATTTAAGAGCTATAATCCACCAGTGCACATCCAGATCAGGATCATTCTCTGATACAGAGAAAATCATCATCATTTAAAAAATGAGAGTCCTTGCTCATAATGGCTTCTCTTGATCCTGCAAATCTTATAACAAAAAATGTGATTACGATTTTTATGCACTTATGTACTTTCCCAAATAAAGAACATCATACAGGTATAGCAAAAGACTCACGTTTCTTTGAACCTACATTCCCAGATGCTTCTGTGTCGTGACTGGACTCTCAGTGCTTCAGTGACGTATCCCCAGCTCTCCCTCCGTGCACTGTGGCTACATCCAGTAATAGGTTTAAATTCTGGAAAGCCTACATACATGAGCACAATACACATCACACTTACATGTTTTGCTCTTGTCATTGAGTTTTCAATCTTCCTTTTCTCTCTGATTCTTTTTCTCTCCTCTTTTATCAATGCCGTCGCTTGCTTTTCTCTCTCCACGCTCTTGCATCTGTTGTATATTCTCAAGACTTGTCAAAAACTTTACCAGCTGATTTTCCTTGTTTGGTAGGAAAACTACTTGGTGGATCAGGTTGAACAAAGAATTTGCTAATGGTAGTAGCACAGGGCAGAGGATGTGGAGCAAATATAGACTCGTCCAAGTAGCTAGGTTCTGATCTCGAGCGTGCAAGAGGGGAAGCCAAGGAAACTGGACTTCAATAAGAGGGTGGTATGCATCTCTTCCTTTCCGGTGTAGAGTGAATCGGTATACTGCGCCTATTTAGCTCCAGCTGAGATTGTGAAGGGAATGTATGCCAGGTTGGTTTTCTCAGGAAGGTTGGATGGCTTAAATACAGAAAAAACTCTGGTCATCTTCAGGTAAACAAATAATGTTTCTGTTGAATGGACAGATACC